TAAAAGACATGTATACGAGAGACGCTTTCATGTTGATTATCTCATCGACTAAATGAGCAGCCTAAAAATGTGTGTCTATCATTACCCTGATTTCCCTCACAGAGAAAGGGAGGTTCAGGGGAGCTAAGTGGTTTGCCTGAGATCTCCCACTGATCGGTTACGTAGCTGTGAGTAGAAACCAGGATCTCTGCTTCTGAAACCAGATTCTTTCCTAAGATGTTGCTTCTTGCATGATTCCACAGGAGAATGTAGACTTGGTCAATGGAGTAAAAATAGGACAAGCGGTAAAGGAAACAGAGGATAGTAATATTCTGGCTCATTCCTGAGGGAGTTGCCAGTCACAGAGAAGTGGAATCAGAACACAGAAGGTTTGCCAGGAGATGAGAATGGGATGTGATTAGTAAGAGTGTGACGTGTGTTTTCACTGTAGCGTCAGTTAGATTGAGAGGAAGATAGATACAATGCAGGTAAGATAGTTAGAAATTCCTAGTCACCCGAGACATTCTTAAGTTCTCACAGATGAAAAATACATACAAGAATTGTTAAGAAAGTTAAGAAAAAAATGTATTTTATATTTTTCTGCAGAGTGTCAATAAAATGAGGACTTGTGAGAAATTTGTTGGAGATCATGACTTGTTGGAGATTGAAGTGGGGCTTTTTTAAAATTTATTTGATATGTAGAGTTATAGACAGTGAGAGAGAGACAGAGAGAAAGTACTTCCTTCCGTGGGTTCACTCCCCAAGTGGCTGCTACGGCTGGTGCTGCTCTGATCTGAAGCCAGGAGCCAGGTCTCCCAAGTTGGGGCAGGGCACAAGCACCTGAGTCATCCTCCACTGCCCTCCCTGGGCCATAGCCGAGAGCTGGAAAGAAAGAGGAGCAACCAGGACCAGAACCTGGCACCTATATGGGATGCTGGCACCACAAGCAGAGGATTAACCAAGTGAGCCATAGCGCCGGCCCCATAAGTGATACTTTTTTTTTTTTAATTTTTTGACAGGCAGAGTTGATAGAGAGAGAGAGAGAGAGAGAGAGAGAGAGAGAAAGGTCTTCCTTTTTTGCTGTTGGTTCACCCTCCAATGGCTGCCAAGGCCAGCGCGCTGCAGCCGGCACATTGCGCTGATCTGAAGCCAGGAGCCAGGTGCTTCTCCTGGTCTCCCATGCGGGTGCAGGGCCCAAGCATTTGGGCCATCCTCCACTGCACTCCCTGGCCACAGCAGAGAGCTGGCCTGGAAGAGTGGCAACCGGGACAAAATACGGCGCCCCGACCGGGACTAGAACCTGGTGTGCCGGCACCTCAGGCGGAGGATTAGCCTATTGAGCCACGGCGCTGGCCCTAAGTGTTGCTTTTTATCACCTTTTTCAAGCTCAGTCTAAGGATCTGCAAACCAGAAATCCTGGCAGAGAGATATAAAGAAAGAGAAGAGGAGAGGAAGACAGAAAGTGGTGGAGATTGAAAAAGGGCGAGGAATAGAAGAGAAAGAAGAGGGAGAGGAAGAAAAGAAGAAAGACAAAGAGGAGTTGGAGGATAAAGAAGATAGAGGAGGAGGACGAGAGAGAGAGAAAGAGAAAGACACACACATGTGCACAGACACCCACTCCCCCCACACACATACACACATGCATGGAGAAAAAGAGAGATGAGACACTAGGCTTGCCAAATGGCCTGTGAGTCCATTCACTTTGCCATCTCTATGATAAGATGTTGGATCTGAGGAAGACCTTAGATGTCTTGACTTACTCACTCTGACTCGGATGAGCACAGAGGAATGGGGAGGAGACTGTGCTAGGATCCCTTCTGTGGAAAGTAGTACATTGAATGTTACATCTTAATAATTGGCTTTTCTCTTGGGATAGGGTGGGAAAAGGATGGCTGGAAAGGTGCAGAGTGTTCTCTCCAACAGTCCTTACTTGGGAGAAGGGAGAGGAATCTTAGGCTTTTCATCTATGCATAGATACATGAGTTCCTTCCTTCTCCAATCAGTATATTCTGAAATTGTATAATTTAAGATTTGCTATTGCTCTCTAATAATTACATGATTATTTTCAATTGTAGGTGGGCTATGCCTCTACCTGCACAGTTCTTAGTGACAAACGCCAGTTTCCATCTTACATTCGCACCATAGCCAGTGATAAGTTCCAGTCTGAGGCCATGGTAAAACTTATCCAGCACTTTGGCTGGGTCTGGATAGGCACTATAGCAGCTGATGATGATTATGGAAAATATGGAGTGAAGATTTTTAAGGAGAAATTGGAGAGTGTCAACCTCTGCATCGCATTCTCCGAGATCCTGCCCAAAGTCTATTCCAAGGAGAAAATGCAAAAAGTTGTTGACGCTGTAAGGACCTCCACTGCGAAAGTCATTGTGCTTTATACATCCGACATTGACCTCAGTCCTTTTGTGCTGGAAATGGTTTACCATAACATAACTGACAGGACATGGATAGCAAGTGAAGCGTGGATTACCTCAGCCTCCATTGCAAAACCCGAATATTTCCCATATTTTGGTGGGAGTATTGGGTTTGCAGTACCAAGAAGTGATATACCAGGATTAAAGGAATTTCTTTATGACATACATCCCAGTAGGGATCCGAATGACATCCTGACCATTGAATTCTGGCAAACAGCTTTTAACTGCACCTGGCCCAATAGCAGTGTCCCGTACAATACTGACCACAGGGTGAACATGACCGGTAAGGAAGACCGATTACATGCCATGTCTGATAGATTCTGTACCGGAGAGGAGAAGTTGGAGGATCTTAAAAATACCTACCTGGATGTGTCTCAGCTCCGAATTACAAACAATGTCAGACAAGCTGTGTACGCGATGGCCTATGCCATGGATCGTCTGAGCAGATGTGAAGAGAAAGGGTGGCCATTCTTTGGAAAATACAAGTGTTCAAATTTACCTAACTTTGAGCCTTGGCAGGTAAGTAGTTGGTTTTACCCCATGGAAATGATCAGAATTCTCACTCTTAAAAATATTAATTTGCTTTTGTACTTAATAGACACAATTTCATCATGCACTGACCAATAATTAGGCCTTGCATGTGAGTCCTAAATGGGTATTTTAAATTTTCTTTTGTTAACAGAGTTGTTATTAGGTTTGTTGTTAAGGATAGGAATCCCCCTCCTGCCCCCCATGCCAAAACCAAACCAAAACAAAACAAACACAAAAAGCAGTGCTTTTAAAATTAGCGGTTTTTCCTTTTGTGTAGATTAAATTTCAAGAAAAGCATTCTAGGACTGAGAGGGTGACTTAGGGACCCAGGTTTCTTCTGTCTTGTCATTTTCCTACTCATAGTATTGGGGCTTCACCTTTAGTCATCATGTCCACATTCTAACCGGCGGGAAGGGCAAGGGGCAAAGTGGCCATGTTGCCTGCCGTGGGAGGATCATCTGGGAAATTACAGACAACTCTTCTCCTAGCCGTCAGCCGGGGTTACTCATGTGGTCCTATCTGACCTCAAGGGAAACTGGAAGGCGCAGTCTATGCGCAGCGTGGGCGTGGACACCAGGAGCTGAAGACTGTGGGCACCTCTCTTGGAGCTTGGCTCCACATCTTCTGTCTCAGTGTGGTGCCCCAGCATCTTGTGTAGGGACAAGGGAGCCAGAGTGCTCTCGCTGAGATACAGACTAACCAGATGCTCCTCTGGGGCTATCCTTCTGTGCCTTCCCTCTTAGGTCTAAAGGAGAAAGCATGCCCACCATGGTCTGCACGGTCGGCTCTCCATGACACAGGCCCTGTCCATCTCTCTGAGTTCATCTCTTTTTTCATAACCCTTTCTCTCCATCATTTCTTGTAATATTATATAGGTTATCATGGCCCACATGATAACTTATATAGTTTCATGGTGTTTGGAGCCATTGATTGCACACTGGGGCCGTTGCTGTGCTGTAGCAGAAAAAAACCACTGCCCACAGTGCCAGCATCCCATATGGGCGCTGGTTCGAGTCCTGGTGTTTCCATTTCTGGTCTTTCCCAAACTCCCTACTAATGTGCTTGAAAAAGCAGTGGAAGGTGGCCCAAGTGCTTGGACCTCTGCACCCTTGTGGGAGACCCAGAAGAAGCCTTAGCTCCTGGCTTCTGATCATCTCAGCTCTGGCCATTGTGGCCATTTGGGGAGTGAACCAGCAGACGGAAGACCTCTCTCTCTCTCTCTCTCTCTCTCTCTCTCTGCCTTTGTAACTCTGTCTTTCCAATAAATAAATACACCTTTAAAGAAATTGATTGCACATTGAGTTAAATTTTGTGTCTCCTTAGTCTCCAATCTGTAATAGTTTTCCTTTTCTTTCCTTGTTTTTCATGACCTTGATGTTTTTGATAAGACTAGTCAGCTATTTTTAGAATGTCTTTGGAACTTGTCTCATGATTAGGTTGAGGTTATGTATTTCTGGCCAGAATGTCAAAGAAGCTACATTGTGTCTCTTTCTACGCCTCTTATCAGGAAGTATGTGATATGGTTATCTCATTGTAGCTGATTTTGTCTTTGGTCAGTTAAAGTGGTGTTTCTATGTGTTTCTTCTGTGAAGTTACTGTATTATCTTCAGAGTTAATAATTTATTTATGAGACAGTATTTTCCATTCTGAAAGTGTTCTGTTTCTCATCATTCACCAACACATTTTAGCATCTATTATTGATGCTCTTGCCTGAAACAACTACTACTGTATGGAAAAAAAGATTTTTTTTTATTTCTCCCATTATTTCTACATTATTGGGTGAAATTCTCCTCCTCCACTGATTTATTTATATCGATATGGACTCATGGGTATTTATTTCTAGTCTGAGTAATAATCCATAACTTTTGGTATTTAGTTTGCTGCTCACAATTGTCCAGATTTGACCATTAGGAGCCATTTGAGTTGGCTTCTCTTTCCTTCTGGCCAGTCCTTACCCTTCCTGAGAGCTTCCTGACTTTCTGGCTCATCTTGTGTTTGTCTGCCCCAGATCTGGAGTCAGCTGTTTATTATAAGGGTCCCTTTTCCATTTTCTCAAGGATAGAATTTAGAAACCAAAATTTGAGTGGTATGTATATCTATTGGTACTAAGGAAATTGTGTTAAAAGGGACTGAGAAATTAAGTTGCTTTTTAAATACCCTAGGGGAGATCCTTCATTTTAAAATCATCTGAATAATTTTTTTTGTTAAAAATCAATACCCTTTTGTATGTGAAATTGCCACCTGCCAATTTATTATTTGAATATTGCAGTTTTATATATTAAATTTTCTCAGTGCGCTACAATTATGTGTCAGGATTGCAGGGAGAAAGGTCTTTGGGGAGAGTCAATAGACCACATAGTATCAAGGTGAATGTGGATTAGTCACTAATGGAGGTCATTCTCTTTGATATACTCCTCACTTATCAGAAAATCAAAACTGAAAAGCAAAACTTCACAGTAGAGAGGGTTAGCATGGTCAGTTAAGAAAGCACCTTAAATGTATAAAAATAAATTTTTAGTTTTATTTAAAACCAAAATTATAATCAAGTTTTTACTCATTCTTCCTAGATAATGTCAGTAGTAGATTTAAGTCAGAACACAAACACACATATACATACATATACATTTAATATACATTTATATATATTAAATCTATTCAGTAGTTTACTGGACATTTATAAATTATGTTGCCATATCTAGGTGGAAGGGAATTGTGTCCTACCATCCAGTGATTACATACTGATGGAAGTATGGGCAAGTTGTTCTAGGGAATGACAGGGAGTGGAAGCCTTTGGACATTTCCTTACTTGACTTTTCTGAGGATGAGAAAAGAAAACACGAGTTCCTCTCATTGGAGTTGGCAATGAAAGTGATGCTTGTGAGCTCTGATGCCTGTTTCTTTGGATTGAAAAGCGCAGATAATAAGAGGAAGAGGGAGAGATGAAAGGGCAGGGACGCAGATCGATCCTAGCGGGGAAAGGTAGTTGTAATAATTCTGACCTCGGCGTGCTCACTTGTTAAGGCTTTCAGGTCTACTGCCTTCATCCCTTTGAGAGGGGCAGAGCAGACGTGATTGTTCCCTTTCTCCAGACCAGGAGTTAATGCTCACTTGGTGTATACTTTTCTCAAGGTCATGACATTTGAGAGAATCAAAGATATGATTCCAGGTTATCACACACCTTAATTCAGGCTCTGTTCACTAAATTGTGTGCCTTTCTGGTTTGTGCAGGGTTAGGGAGTGGATGAGGCCCGCTGGTTGGGAAACGGAAGCCCAGAGTGGGTGGGACTGACTGAGATCAGGAATATATCCCTGTGCAAATTGTTTTGTTTGATTTGAAACACAGCGCTATCTTAGCACAGCTAAGATTGAGGCAAGATTAAACAGGTATTATTTTATCAAAGCATCCAGGTTGTTGTCATTTCCATCCATTGTTGATACCCTTGGCCATGGCTTTTTCTGTCCTCATCCTTGTCCTTGAAGCATGAATGGAACTTCAGGATGCAGAGCAGTGAATTCCTTGGCACGTGTTAATCCCTTGGTTTAGAATCTCCTTGCCCCAAGTATTTGTCAGGCCAATATTCCTGCTAAGCTCCTGAAATCAGCTCATTTGGTCACTTCCTGTGGGGATTGTTTCCAGTTTTCCTAAAGTTATTAGTTAGCCTCTCCATCACTCATACACTTTCAACATTCTTCCCATAATAGCAACATAGAAGACATTGAGGTTTCCAATTGGTACCTGTTTATCTAGACTATCCATTGGTCTCTTGTCAGGGCACGGGATGGCCCTATTGATCTTCCTGTCTCAGGCACCTTATCACAGGGAAGGGAGAAATGGTGGTGAAGGGTGTGCTGGTGTCTGTCAATGAAGAAATCTAGGAAGGGAGTCAGTCTGCGTCCTGGTGCAGCAGGTAAAGCTCCTGCCTGTGAAGCCAGCATCCCACATGGGCACCAGTTCATTTTTGTTGGTCTGGGCTGCTCTACTTCCAGTCCAGCTCCCTGCTAATGGCCTCTAAAAGCAGCGGAAGACAGCCCAGGTATTTGGGCGCCTGCTACCCTTGTGGGTACCTGGAAGAAGCTCCTGGCTCCTGGCTCCTGGCTTTGGCCTGGCCCAGCACTGGCTGCTTGACCAGCAGGGATGGAACCTGAGAATGGCAGTTCTCTCTCTCTCTCTTTCCCCCTCCCTTTCTCCCTCCCTCTCTGCCTTTCAAATTAATAATCTTAAAAAAAGGAAAAAGAAATCCAGGATAAAAGTAAAAATATTCTCTCTTCCCCTGACATAGAAATATTGGGAACTATTTGGCATCACTATGCTTTGTGTAAACCAGTACTATCCAGTAGAAATCCAGAAGCCTCATGGATAAATAGAAATTTTCTTGTAGTCATATTAAAAAACCAAGGTCACCATATGATATTAATTTTAACAATTTATCCCAGTGTATGTAAGGTAATATTTTAACATATAATCATAATTGTGATAATATAAAATGTGAAATTATTAATAAGATAGTTTGCATTTTTTGAATTATGCTTTCCTAATCTAGTGTGTACTTTATACTTAGAGTGTATTTCAACTTGGTTGATCACCTTGCAGGTTCTAGTTGCCACAAGGTAGAGGTTGTTGTACCAGATATCAAAGGTATACAGGAAGAGAAGAAAAAAAATCCCATTTCCTGAATTAGATAATTTTGAAATTATTTTCTTTCTAAGATTCTATTTTCTAAACAATTACATTTTTACAAATTGCTTTTTTCTGCCACCCCCTTGCTTTCTAGCTCATGTTCTTTATACAGAGAGTTAAGTTTACAACCCACGATGGAAGGAAAATTCATGTTGATAGAAATGGAGACGTGACTGGATACTATGATCTTCTAAATTGGCAATTAGATGATAATGGAGATATTGCCTTCGTGAAGGTTGGAGAATACATATTCACACAGTCTAAGTTTGAATTCATGATCAGAAAGAATTCAACAATATTTTGGAATACCGAATCCTCAAAGGTTAGTCACCCTGGTATCTTATTTTGTTTATATGTAGAGAGAATTGCATTTCTATATTGTTTTAGGACTTGTGGAATCTAAACATCTAAAATTTGCCATTCCAAGCCAATTCTCCTAAGAATGCAGGTACTTCAAAAAAAAAAAATCCTGGAAAAATGGAACCAAAGTAATGTTCATTTTGGAGCTAATTATTTTGAAGTCTATGCATAGTTTTTTTCAGAATGTGCATTTTCCACACTTTTTTGAAGACCTCTTATATGGTACATACCTTTTCTATACATAGTTTCAGAGCTCTTATTTTTAGAGTCTTTTTTTGGTTATTACTTTAAACATTAATTTCATTATTTTGTTTTTCTTTTTCATGTACTCCATTTGCACTTATGTTTGATATCATTTACCCATCTTCCATGTCATCCATGTTCTAGTTCTACCCTTTTCTTGATCTCATTCTTATTTTCTTGGTTGTTTTCTTGCTTTCATTCAGTGACCATTACTAAATTCTCACTCAAATATATTGACTTTCAAAATAGCTATATTTATTTATTTATTGCTCAGAAGCCTTTTGTTTAAGGTATTCAAACTTCATGCATTTCATAAATACAACTTCAGGAACACAGTGATTCTTTCCACACTTACCTACCTTACTACCCACACTCCCACCCTTTGTCTTCCTCCCTCTGCTATTTCCATTCTTATATTTTACTAAGATCTATTTTCAATTAACTTTATACACATAATATTAACTCTATGCTAAATAAAGTGTTCAAAAAATAATATGAAAAAAAGAACTGTTCTTCAACAGTGGAGACAAGGGCTGTTCAAAGTCATTACATCTCAAAGTATGAATTTCACTTCTATAAATTACCTTTTGGTGCTTTGTTAGTTACCACAGATCAGGGAGAACATATAGTATTTGTTCTTTTGGGAGTGGCTTATTTCACTAAGTATGATGTTATCCAGTTTTATCCACTTTGTTTCAACTGATAGGATTCATTTTTTTTACCTCTGTGTAGTATTCCATGGTGTACATGTTTCATAATTTCTTTATTCAGTCTTCAGTTGACAAAGATTTGTGTTGATTCTTTATCTTAGCTATTGAGAATTGAGCTGCAATAAACATGGGGGTACAGATAACTCTTTCAAATGCTGATTTCATTTCTTTCGGTAAATCCAAGGTTGGAATGGCTGGGTCATATTGTAGGTCTCTATTCAGATTTCAGAGATATTTCCATACTGTCTTCCACAGTGGCTGTACCAAGTTTACATTCCCACAAACAGTGGCTGTACCAGTTTACATCCAACCAACAGTGGATTGGGGTACCTTTTTCCCCACATCCTTGCCAGCATTTTTTGTTTGTTGATTTCTTTTGAAAGCCATTCTAACTGGCGTGAGGTGAAACTCATTGTGGTTTGGATTTGCATTATTTTCACAGCTGGTGATCCTGAGAATTTTTTCATGTGTCTGTTGGCCATTTGGATTTCCTCTGGAAAAATGCCTATTTAAGTCCTTTGTCATTACTTCACTGGGTTGTTTGTTTCCTCGATGTTGAATTTCTCGAGCTCTTAGTATATTATGGATATTAGTCCTTTATCAGTTGCATAGTTTGCAAATAATTTCTCCAATTTTGTCAGTTGCCCCTTGACTTTGCTGAGTGTTTCTTTTGCAATGCAGAAGCTTCCCAATTTGATGTGATCCCATTTGTCAATTTTGGCTTTGATTGCCTATGCCTCTGGGGTCTTTTACAAGAACTCTTTGCCTATGCCATGTCTTGCAGGGTTTCTGCAAAGTTTTCTAATTATGTGATGGTTTCAGGTTGGAGATTTTCCCTTTTGATCCATTTTGAGTAAATTTTTGTGTTAGGTGCAAGGTAAGGTCTTGTTTCATACAATGCATGCAGAGATCCAGTTTTGCAAGCAGCATTTGTTGCAGTGACTGCCTTGCTCCAGGGATTGATTTTAGCTCCTTTGTCAAGATATGTTGGTTGAAGATGTGTGGGTTGATTTCTCAAATTTCTGTTTTGTTCCATTGGGCTATCCATCTGTTTTTGTGTCAGTCCCAGGCTGTTTTTATTATAATTTCCCTGTAGTACATCTTGAAATCTGGTATTGTGATGCTTCCGGCTCTGTTTTTATTGTATAAGATTGCTTTAGCTATTTGGGGTCTGCTGTGTTTCCTTATGAATTTCAGCATAGGTTGTTCTGTATCTGAGAAGAATGTCCTTGGTATTTTGATTGGTATCACATTAAATCTGTAAATTGCTTTTGGTGGTAGGGATATATTGATGATATTGATCCTTCCAATCCACTAACATGAACATTTTTCTATTTCTTAGTGTCATCTTCTATTTATTTCTTTAATGTTGTGTAATTCTCTTTGTAGAGATCTTTGACATCTTTGGTAAAATTTTTACCAATGTATTTGAATTTTTTGTAGCTATTGTGAATGGGATTGATCTAGAAATTCTTTCTTATCTGTGGCATTGTCTGCATATACAAAGGCTATTGATTTTTATGTGTTGATTTTATATCCTGCCACTTTTCCAAACTCTTTTATGAGTTCTAATAGCCTCTTAGAGGTGTCTTTTGGATCACCTACATGCAGAATCATATCATCTGCAAAGAAGGGTAGTTTGACTTCCTCTTTCCCAATCTGTATCCCTGTGATTTCTGTTTCTTGCCTAATGGGTCTGATTAAAACCACCAAGGCTATAAGGGATAGCAATGATGAAAGTGGGTATTGTTCTCTGGCTTCAGATCCTAGGGGAAATACTGCAAGCTTTTCCCCATTAAATAAGATACTGGCTTTGGGTTTGTCATAAATTGCCTTGATTGTGTTGAGGAATGTTCCTTCTATACACACTTTGCTTAAGGTTTTCATCATGAAAGAATGTTTTATTTTATCAAATGCTTTCTCTGCATCTATTGAGAAAGTCACACAGCTTTTGTTTTTAAGTTTGTTAATGTGATGTGTCATATTGATTGATTTGCAAATGTTGAACCATCCCCTCATATCAGAGATGAATTCTACTTGTCTGGGTAAATGCTCTTTCTGATGTTTTTTGGGTTCAATTGGCTAGTATTTTGTTGAGAATTGTTGTGTCTATGTTCATCAGGGAAACTGGTCTTGTAGTTCTCTTTCTCTGTTGTATCTCTTTCCAGTTTAGGAATTAAGGTGATGCTGGCTTCAAAGAAGGAGTTTGAAATGATTCCCTCCTTTTTCAATTGTTTTGAATGGTTTAAGAAGAATTGGAGTTAGTTCTTCTTTATTTTATTATTTTTTTTGACAGGCAGAGTTAGACAGTGTGAGAGAGAGACAGAGAGAAAGGTCTTCCTTTTTCTGTGGGTTCACCCCCCAAGTGGCCACTACAGTCGGCACGTTGCGGCTTTGGCTGAACTGAAGCCTGGAGCCAGGTGCTTCCTCCTAGTCTCCCATGTGGGTGCAGGGCCCAAGGACCTCTGGCGCCCCAACCAGAACTAGAACCCTGGGTGCTGGCGCTGCAAGTGGAGGATTAGCCTAATGAGCCGCGGCACCAGCCTAGTTCCTCTTCAAGTGTGTGGTAGAATTCTGCTGTGAAGCCATGCAGTCTTGGGCTTTTCTTTGTTGGGAGAGTCTTTATTATTGATTCAGTTGCCATCTTGGTTATTGGAATGTTTAGGTTTTCCATGTCTTCATGGCCCAGTTTTGGTAAGTTGCTTTGTCCAGGAATGCATTTCTTCTAGGTTTTCTGATTTTTTGACAAACAGCTCTTTGTAGCAGTTCCTGATGATTCATTTTATTTCTGTGGTATCTGTTGTTATAGTTACTTTCTCATCTCTAATTTTATTGATTTGTGTCTTCTCCCTCTTTTCTTTCTTTGTTTCTTTCTTTCTTTGTTTCTTTTTTTTTCTGGTTAGTTTGGCTGATGGTGTGTCACTTGTTTATTTTTTTCAAAGAAAAGGCTCTTCCTTTTGCTGATCTTTTATATGCTTTTTTTGTTTCAATTTTGTTCATTTCTTATCTAATTTTAATTATTTCTTTTCTCCTACTAGTTTAGGTTTTAGTTTCCAGTTGTTTTTCTAGGTCTTGAGATGCATTGATGATGTACTTGGTGCCTTTCCATTTTCTTGAGGTAGGCACCAATTGCTATAAACTTTCCTTTTAACACTGCTTTTGCTGTATCCCTTTAGGTTTGATATGTTGTGTTGTTGTTTTCATTCATTTCAGGAAAATTTTTTTATTTCTCTTTTGATTTCTTTTATGACCCACTGTTCGTTCTGGAGCATATTGTTCAGTCTCCATGTGTTTGCGTATGTTGTAGAGATTCTTCAGCTTTTGTTTTCCAGATTCATTCCATTGTGGTCAGAGAAGATGCATGATTTCAATTGTTTTGAATTTGCTGATACTTGCTTTATGGCCTTGCATATGGTCTATCCTAGAGAAACTTCCATGTACTGGTGAGAAGAATATGTAATCTGCAACTGTGGGATGAAATGTTCTGTAGAAATCTGTAAGGTCCATTTGGTTTACAGTGTCAGTTAAATTTGTTGTTTCCTTGCTGATTTTCATTCTGGTTGATCTGTCCATTGCTGAAAGTGAGGTATTTGGAGGCGGTGGCAAGATGGTGGAATAGGAAGGGAGCACACTGATAGTCCGGGGAGAGACAGCTTAATAAAAGTGGTGATACTGCAGGTTCAAGGAAAAGCAGGGGAAGAAACAGCAGAGGAAACTCTTCCGGCACTAGTGATTCACAGTGGACCTGCGTGGAGAGCATGGGAGCCCACAGTTGGGGACACCAGTGGCAGACTCAACACACCAGTGCTAGAACGAGAGGTGAGCCGAACCTCAGTAGCCTGAGACACTGGCAGGCAAGTGGAAAGTGGAGATTAAAGGGATCGACCCTGTGGCGAAAAGTTCACCAGGCTAACTAGAAGAGAGAGAGAGAGAGAAAAAAAAGTGACTGATACAACAGACACGAGTTTCTCTCTCTCCGCTCACCTCTCAAAGTTGAGCAAGACAAAGA